GCATCCATCTCCGCACTCTCATAGAGTGTACCACTTTCTTCACTCTTAATGGTGACATAACGCAATAGACACGTGTCTCCTTTTAAGCATTGATCTTTTCACTCTGCATGACAATGACTTGCACGATGGATTACGTGATTGCATTTTGTTGTATGCAGCGTCGTAGGGCGATTTCATTAGCTCGTCGTAGAGAATCTGTACTTGTCGAATCTTCTGAAGCTTAAGAGTTGTTTCGCTAAGATACCTCTTTGAAAGCTTGCAAGCTGTAGTACTTATCTTCGTAAGGCAAGAATTCGCTTTAGCGCTGCTTGAATTCAGCTTGAGTTGGATTAATTGTTGCAAGAGCTCACCGTACTTGGCTTACCGAGTTTACGGTGTTGTACAATGAGGCTCTGTGGTTGATGGGTTCTATTTAGTAGCAGTGAAGTAGTGTGTTCTGTTGAAGCTTATTACAATCGGAATCGGGATTTCCACTCTGAGATATACTTCCCTATTTTATTTCCGATGGTTTCATGTACCCTAAGAGGAGCGATGTGTATCTTGTACCAGGTCCGTTCACTGTAACAACTGTAATTCTGCGTGCATACTGGCTACAGCCACTTCGACCGGCGCCATCAACCTCTGAGATTCCTTGCAGAATCTGCACGCATGTTGCATACCAGAATGTGGGACAACGTTGCTCAATATCTCCGAGCTTCATATTGAATTTCTGATTACTTCTTTTTTTCGATTTTTCACAGATTCCCATGATTCAGAAGAGATTCGATTTGTTTGATCGGACGGTCACTGTATTCGACGTTATCCGACAATATGTAGACTGAAAGTACGTGAGCAGGGCCATGTTTAGTGCTTTAATAAATAATATCCCAGCCCTGTAGTGCAAAAATATTAGGTTGGTCGAAAAGTCCTGCGACACTTTGACCAATTTTTCGGACTAAATTTTCAGTCACTAAAAGACATCTCCAATCGACAAGGTTATCACCAAGGACTAGGACTAGTGCCCTTCTTTTGCACAGCTTCTCATTTCCATTCTTCTAGAACTACGGCAACTATGATAAGAAGAGGTGGACCTCATTTTTGAGTAGACGTCGATTTTCGGAATTTTTGCCTTCTTAAGGATGCGGTAGGGATCAAAAAAGGTAGTAGTTAGAGACTGCTAACTTTGATGAATAAGCTGGGTATGGTCGCATTCTCAGATCGAGATCCACGATCTTTTGGTGTGGCCTGATCTTAACATGCGGTCTTCGCAATGCCGAGCGCTAGAGAAAAATTGAGTATTTTTGAAGAATTCAAGCTTGACGTCATCCATGTTGTGAGGTCGGTTAGAGAGGACTGTAGTCCTTACCGTTATGCTAGTATCCAGAGATACCGCTTTGAAGTCCCACCAATAACCTACTGAAATCTTTTCCCATGCACATGTGCTTTTGCTTGCAATCTACTTTTCTGTTCGAGAGATCCTGCGAGGAACATGTGCAAGATGTACGCAAGGACCCCACCACTCTCTACCAACCACAAGATCTCACAAAAGTTCCTCCAGTGTGTACAAGGAAAAAAACCCAGTCACGGTCATACGGTATGACTTGTCAGAGGGGTTCAACTCATGGGGCATCCTTCATAAAAATTTTTTCCAAAAACCGAGACTGCGGAGAAGCATGGCAGTTGTCAGTTAGGTGGAGCCTAGAGAGGTTGCCTACTTACTGGTGGTTACGTTCGGCTGCGCCTCAAGAAGCTTGAGTAAAGGGCCGTCATTCTGTGCTGGTGGCCGACCTATACATTGCCTACTTCCGAGTTGAATAAGTCCAGCCTGGAAGCGCTGATGCAAAAGAACTCTCTGCTATGGCAAGCGATATCCTTCCTTAAGACAACGTAAGAGTTAGCTTCCTCGACTATGGGGAGTTGCCCTACAGGAACTCATAATATGGGACAGGTCGAGGAGTACCTCGATCTTTGAGGTATTTTTAAGCTTTGAAAACTTCCACGGAGCCATGATATACCCATTTTCAGAAACCTCAGGAGACATTCTCCACTAATCAGAGATAAAAACATTCAAAATGATTTTTGGTCTTTTTCTAGAATAGTTCAAAAACAAAGTGTCGCAGGACTTTTCGAACAACCTAATAGAACCCTTAGTGATGGATTCGTTCGCAAAGTGCATGAAACCGATCACTTTCTTATCTCAGCAATGCACTTGAAGATCCCAGAAAGTAAGTTCCTTTAGTGTTGGGTCACTAATCTAAAGAAAAAAGAACAGCTGTTATTTTCTCCACGGAAGGATTGATATCAGCAACTATTACCTAGAAATTTGTTACTTACCGTACTAGGCGTCTTTCGGTGGACACGCTCATGTTGCCGGTTTTTGCGCGTACCCGGACCTATCCTCGCTGTCAACACTGGTGTGCCGCAACTTCTGAAACATTAAATCTGGAAGAGCGCGCCAACCAACGATAAGGGCGTTAAGGCGAGCTTCTTCTCCTCCTAGCGATCAGCATGGAGTGTGCTTTTGGAACAGCCAGGGCTTGTCATTCTTCTTCTCTTTGCTAGAGGGGGGGAGGTGTAGCAGCATTTGAGATAGCATTCTTCAAAGTAATAATCTTCTAATATTCATTATTTCAAAGGTAAACTCAATCATGACACCAGCAAATGGAGTGTGGACAAAAGCCGACTGGTTTCAATCAGCTACACATCGTCAATGATAGGTATGATATGAGAATAGGGTTTTAAAGGGGATGTTCCCATTAGGGTACATGTGTATATGACGAGAGAAAGATGTCTCGTTCAGCGCCATCCCCTATCCATAGCCGGTTTATGTCTCCGTTCGGTCTAAATTTTACATCTTGCATTCAAGCATACGCAAAAAATCCTCGTTCCTACTGAGGTGCAGTGAAAAAAATCAGGGTATGAGTATAGCCGGATACGTTCCGCCTCTCAGAACACCCCTGGGCCACTAATTGTAAGAGATTCCCTGAACAAATAGTATACACCCTCGTTGTCGCACGAGCGGTGTGCTCTTTTCCTTCCGATGTTGAAAATGCTTGCAGAGAAGACATACCTGCTCAGAAGTTCGCCGACAGATTCCCCTGGCGCATTTTTACATAGCATGCGGTGGGGAATCCGATGTTGTAATTTTTTAGGGATAATGGTTTGATGGCATCGGTAACATTTGGCTCCTACTTCATACACAATTTTGAAATATCTGCTTTCGGATGATTGCTCCTCCACAAAAGAAGGCAGCGAACCTCTCCTAGAAACCTCCTTGCAGAAAAATAGTATGCGCTCGAGAGATACGTAATCTGCCAGAGGGCAGTCAAGCTTTTGATTCGCTTTCTCCGCTGAGTTTCCTCAGGCAGTAGCAGTCGTGCAAGGATTGTTACCCACCCCTCCCCCCCCCTTGCACTCTCCTTCGACCAGTAACGCTGGAACCGCCGCCCCCGCGTCCTAATCAACCCACTCAGTATTTCGCAAAGCCAAACCGTACACTAATTTGTGGATCCCAGTCCTTGGATCCTCACCGTGTGTGAAGTGAAAGAGTCCGCAGCTGCAACAGCATTGCTGATCAGGAGTCCACAAGAAAGGGGGCTGGATGGTAGTAATGGTTATGTGACAACTAGAATTTTTCGTGATCCTGGCCCTAAGGGCAAGAGCACAGAGAGATAGATTGCGGCTGCCAAGGCATCAGAGGATACAACAAGACACCGCGAGCCAGAGAAAAAAACTTCTGAAAACTTCTCAGGGGAAAGAGCCTTCGGCGTGTATGAGCCTTTTAACAGGCTTGAAAGTTTGAATGTGAGGTCTCCGTAACCAAAGAATACAATTTAGACGTGTGGGAGCAGAGAAAGCAGAAAGCGCAATTGAAGGAGTTGAGCTCAAGCTGTCCGTAGACCGTTAGTGACAATCCGCCGCTTTCACACCCAGCCGGCGCCGTTGTACTGCCAGAATGCCCAGCCAAACGCACTACTTGTCTGCGCTCTCTCAGTTCTGTCTATTCGTTTGCCCTGAAGGTGTGCTTTGCTACGAAATTTCGCTATCGACGTAAGTGCTGCATCTGGACGAGAGCTCGGGCGAAATACGCAGACGGCGCTTAGGTATCACTACACTCCGCTCCGTTTCTGTGCGCTTTTGAGCGGAGAAGGTGTAACGCTAGTGCAGCTACGGACCGATCCACCCGGCACATAGAAAGGACCGTCCAGGAACTTGAGTGTACGGTAAAAGAGCTGAGTACATTTCAGAAGAAATGTTTACCAGTGGAGCTGTGCAAATCAGGAAAGACGCAGAAGCTGAAGTACTCATGATAGGTCTGGGAGCCGGTGTCATAAGCTCGTATCTTCATCATACCTATCCCAAGGTGAACTTTTTCAAATGTGTTCTTCGCAAGGGATGACAGTCTTTCCAGG